AAAACCAACTATATGTATAGAACTACCGAGGGAGTTCTATCAAGAGGCACGAATCAGGGTTAGTTGCAAAAAATGAAAAATTCCTTCAAGCGTTCATGCACACTTATTTCATTTGTTATTGTCGTTTAGATTTCTAGCGTCAACGGAGGAATATTACCCAGGATCGGCATAGGAACTATCAACTCATATGGCTTTCAGTAAATACACGGAAGCAGGGAGTGTTTATGCAGAGAAGTGTTCTAGATATCCTTTTCTGTTGGTGCATGTTTTCATGATTTTTTTAGCTGTCTAGCCAGAATTTTGAAGATTCTGAAGAAGGCCACCTGTTCAGTTTGTTATTGAAATATAACCATAAAAATAGCAGTAGAATGGGGTGTGGTTTGCTAGAACAGAGAGCAGCAAGTTTGCGTCTTGCAGCGCGGAACTTTTTTCGCTGCGGGGATTCGATTGAGGTCCACGGCTGACCATAAGTTGACCTGGAGTTCCCGCAGCGAAAAAATGCTTTGCGAAGCGAAAAGCGAAGAAATCACTTTCCATCCTAATGAACCACACCCTATGTGTGTAGGGGATGAAAAGAGCATTCGCTTTACCGTGCTTCATTTTCAGGTGATTCGTTAATGCCAGGCTTCGATGTCAAATGCTCACAAGGATTCGCTGCAAGCTGTTTGTTACGAGTTGATTGTCAACAATAAAGAAAAGGTATTTACCAGTTATTGGTCTATTTCTGAAGTATCTTAAGGTATGTACAGCATAAGGCGATCCTTCTGGATTGTTAGTGATGGCGAAAAGTTTGAAGATAAGGTTGGCGAGAAAGGTTTTGATCTAATGTCTACCATTTTTGGAAACAGTAGCCCTTAGCAGTTTGATGAGAGTGTTGTGAAGGTTCGCTATCATCCCCGGCTTATTCATATACGAGAAAAAGTGAAGCACCTTCAGTCAAAATGCATGAGAGTTCCACGCAATGAAGAGGAAAGTTTTTACGGACGGTGCTGATTCCCAGGGACATGGGCAAGGTATTCCTAGTATTCCTAAATGTTTTCAATCTCTGAATTCTGACGTTTTTACATTGGACAAGCATTTGAACCCTAACCCACCACGGATACTGGCTAGTTCAGGAAGCATTTTCAATGTTAATCCAAAAGTTGTGGGAATTTGTAGCCAATTCCAGTGATATGCTTTCTGTGGGTGGTGTCAAACTTTGCGGCTGGAGCAACTGGCACGCCATAGGAGGGATCAATCGCATCCGCGATTCCGTCTTCCATCATTTAAGCCAGTCGCTCCAGTAGCAGTCTGACATCAGCCTATCTTGAACAGTGGATCACCTCGGGCAAGTGGCAGGGTAAATATTAACAAAGTTGTTCCACGTTAACTTTCTTAGGGCTTTTGTGACAGTTTTGGATCCAGTGCATATCAAATTATTACATTTCAACGTTTTATTTCTGGAACACAGAAATGAAATCCATTTTTTCTTTTCGATTATCTCCCACACAACAAGTCCTTCACAAAGGCATTTTTGCCAAATACTTTCATTTTTTTCTTGCGTGTGGTGTTCCCGTTGTTCAGGGGAGTTTGGGAACTGGTCAATTATTCGAGTTTCACGCATTCTTTACAGTGGCCAGATACACAGACAACCTAACTACGGAAATCAGCAAAACGAATGAGTAAAAAAGACGTGGACACATTGAGCAAAGCTATAGTGATGTTCAGATATATCGAGGACAAGGACGTGTTTTAAAAGGTTGGCTCACTCCTTGGAAGTGGGTTCTTAAACGCCCGTTTCAAATCGTTATTATCTATTAGTTGATCTAAAACTTTCATTTCTGAATCTCTTTTTTTTCAGGACTATTCCACGATGTTAGCCTCATGTCAAAATTCTCCGTCGCAATGAATGCTGGAAAGGCTGCGATTGATATTAAAGCCACTCGTCAGTACATCTCTGTTGTTGTTTTGGATTGGAACGTAGGAACACTCAATCCTCGGTACATTTTCTAAAATTGCAGCCAATTGCGAATGTGACATTTTCAGCAACCGTGTGGCTACGGATTCACTAGCAAGTTTTCTCGAATGGTGAATGTTGTAGGTTTCATTTTGCTCCCCGTGCTAATGCCTACATTGCTTGATATTTTTGAAATGAGCTTTAGTTTCAGTACCTAGGAAAAAACCACACTTCTGTTCATGTGTCCATGCAACCTCTTGTACTACGAGCTGAGTGACGCCGCTTATTCCCGACAAGGTGAATCGCTTTCTTTGATTACAGAATTTCTGAAATGTCTTGTGACGTATTCATTAGGTGTGCTATCAATGCCATTTTTCTAGTAAAATGAAGAGTATTTAGAGATTTACGTAGTTTCCCTTCCAAAACCATCGTCACAACTTCATTCCAAATAATTCTCATGTGCTATGTTGTTCAATGTTGTAGTTGGATCGAACAATGGTGACTGTGAAACAGCTTCATTCATGCTACAACCAATCCTGCAGCCCTCTGTGTAAGTGTCTAAGCGCATAGCATAGTACATAATGGACGAGAGCTCACATCGCGTATTCAGGTTGTCACACGGTATGTGCACTTGTCCTGCAGTTTACGAGCCTGTTGACCCTCATACACAATGTCGAGAACATGATTGCAGTTGTGTACATCGTCCGAGGGATTTTGCGGACAGTTGTGTGTTTGCGACCTAGTTACGAGGTCCGCCCATCCCGATGTTGTTGGGTGGGGCCACGCTAGCTTATGGTTAGTGTCAACCTATTTTGGTTCAACCAGATTTTATCTTAACCGACAGTGAGGGATGCAATTGCCCATTCAGCGACAGCGCGTTGGGCGCGCATCTCAACACCATTTTTTGACATGTTTTCAAAATCGCTATTGCCCTCTCAAAAATTTTTCAGTGCTTATGGGCATTGCATTTGCTTTCCGGCAGCAACATATTGTGGAATTAAGAGGCGTAGGTCCCAATAAAGGCCGGCACAACAGTGTGTGCTTTTCCAAGCTACGCGCTCACCCTTTGCGTTGACAGAAGCCGTTGAACCGGTCAGTGCCTCGTGTTTAAATTAATTTGTTCCGTAACCCCGGATTTGTGTTACAGGGGTGAATTTGCGGCTTGACTTATCGTACAAACGTATTTGTAATCAAGATGATGGTTCGTTTCTCTGATTATCACTATTTTCTTTGATGCTCCCAAACCAAGGACTGTGTCATGGTGAGTGCTAGTTTTGTTCCAGGTAGTGGAGTATGTGAAGAGAAATCTTCCAATTATCTTTATAAAGAAATCTTTCAAGCAACAAATTTGTTCACGATTATTTTATAAATTCCAGCAGCTGATGAGCCATTGTGGTGCGCGTCTGTGATTTCTTGCGATTTGCCATCTCGGGTGACGTGGCAACTTTAGGTTTGTTATGTTTTTCATATTTACAGTCGATAGTATGGGGATTTTGTGGGTGGTTTCCTTATCAGTACCAGCTAAGAAGAGTTAAAAAGGACTATCACGTGCTTATCAGAAGTATTCTTGTATGACATCAGGCACCTAACCTTTGCCTTGCGCTGGACGAGCAGCGACATTCCTCTCGCTACCCCCCGTCAGAAAGGAAATTTCTGCGAACGGGATGGCCAGTTAAGAAATGCAATTGCTCTTGCAAAGCATGCGCTGATCATGAGCACCTTAATAGAAAACATGTTTGAAAAACACACATTGAACACATCAAAATAACTATAACTTTCTGAGAAGTAAAAGAATTTTCAATCGTGTAGAGGAGAACTGTCTGTCCTTTTCTCGACGAGTACTTTTTAACAAGTATTTATTAAAGAAAGTAGTCAGTACGTCTTTGGGAATTAAACGAGGGAAATCATTGAGAAGCGCAAGTTATTACAGCTTCGAAAGCCGTGACTTTCTTTACATGCATTCATCAAAGGAAAGTTTTGGCGGGGGTAGCGGTTTTGGAACTCTTAACGGCTGTCACTCCATTTCACTATTGTCAGAGAGAGGGGATTCACAGTAGAGTCACATCGAAAAATGCGTGTTGAGAATTGTGCGAAAATGTTTTGATTAATGCCGGCGTGTTTTACACTTTTCATAGAAGGCTGTAACTTATTTCGAAGGGTGCACTAGTTTTAGTGTATAGGTTTGATTAGAGTTTACCGTGAGTCGATTTATAGTTTATTTGCAGGGTTTCGACTTAAAGGGGGGTATACCGTTCGAACGTTGATTTACTTATTATTATTAATTGATTGTATTAGTTTATGTATCGGTATACGAAGAAAATGAACAATGTGGTGAAAATAAGGCAAAAAATTAACGTGGGGTCAGGCATGTTCAATAAAAATTGAGGCTGAAAAACTGAATTCTCCTTAACGCTAGCGAATCTTTTCTGGCATTTTCCGCGAGAGACGGGGAACAAAGCCTGGCATTGGTAGAACTCGCTCAGGGGCGCGCAGTGCCCTCGATATCCGGCGGGAGTCGTGGTTTCCATCCACTTCTGAATAGGTTATCTGAACTTCTACTCCCGGCACTTACGTCCCCTCCTCATCCTACCGGATCCGATACGACCCCCCCCCCGCCACCAGCCGCTGGACGCATATGGACGTTGGATGCCCGCTGCGTAGAGGACCCCTCGATTAAGCACGCTTTGATGGAGAAGGCTCTCTTCTTACGCGCACCTTCACGAGGTAGATTACCTTTCGGGTTACCTGGCTAATTATTTAGCTTGATCTTGCTTGGATTTTCTTCAATAATAAAGCCGAAGCGAACAGTTCTTTGTGTTTCGATATTTCTACCAGGGCGGAACTGGCTATTACAGTTTTACATCAGGTTTGGCTTGGGAAATTTGTCATTTCCTAAAAGGTCGTGTCGTTCTTGAAACTTGATTCGAGGTGGGGCATGCAGGATTTAGGCAATTCAGTGGAGCATATTTGCAGCTAGTAGCTACCAGATTGGAGGTCAGCGAAACAACTGTCGGAGTCGGGTGAACCGTGTCCAAGACGTGCGATCGAGAGTCGCGTTGGGATGATTCATTGAATACGTTGATGCTTGGCTATCTTAATAACTCTGTTAAGCTCTCAATCTCAGTTTAGAAGGACCGCAGTGCTACCCAGAAAATACGACTCTTCGAAGACGAATGGCAGGGGGACCTCTCCGAACGCGAGCCGGTACACAGTGATTGTCTCGTGTCGGTGCAACTGGGGGGAGCCTTGATATTTAGACTATGTTTATGGGCGCGCCGTTTCCGCACACTTTCGTTGGATATCCACAGCTCAAATCGGTTTTGGGTTGTGGGTCGATCCTTAGTTGATTTGCTGCAATTTTGCTTTGCTGTCTGGGTTGTTTCCTAACTCTAATTGTTTAGGTGTGTTCACAGAGTGGCTGTAGCCATTGGGGGGTGTTGGTTGAGTTGAGTGGAGGGTCGATTTTGTAAAGGAGCTAGTGGCCAGGGGGGGCGGCTGGAGTGGGAGGGTTTAATATATCCTGGATCAGGATTTCTGGCACTTCCCGTTAGCTTTGTTCTTGTTCTATTTTCGTTGAGAATTATATCTCCAACTTCAAAACCGCCGATGGGGTGTTTGATTGATTGTGACCTTATCTTTAGGTCATGAAGCCTCGTATCAACTTGCAGAACTTGGGGCTGGCCAGAAAGTTGGTCGGAGGGCGAAGTGGTAGTACTCATTATGCTGGGCTCTGATTGCCTACACCAAATTCGTGATTCACTGGGTTGATTTTGCGCATGTTACAGTCGGCCACGATGCGATGCAAGGGCCGAATTGGGCGGTAATTTAAATGTTAACTGAATTTCAGCATTTGGTAATTCTAATTTCCACTTCTTTAAAATTGTGAAGGAAACCTTTCTTAGGCGCTTTGCTCTGACGTGAATCTATGGACCACCATTTTTGGCTACGGTGGGCTTGTGTAACTTTGGAACTCTAGGTAGGGAACAGGTTAGTAAATAACGAGCAGAAAAGAGCGAAAAGGAAGGGATAGCGATCGAGTGCTGTATCAAACAAAAAAGGGTATTGGGCGCCCATAGCTTACAAGCAGTCACCTTGTGTTTGTGTACTACCCACCCTAAGTTTTCCAGAACACAGAAGGGCGTGTACCTTCTGAATGACTTCATCCCTTCCATAACGAATCCCCGCGTCATGCTCCCCACTGATGCCCTCGACTCGCAGAGCTCTCGTCGAGGTCAACAGATTGTTGGGTCTTAGAGTGTCGCAGGTCCTTTTAGCTACTTCCTTGTCCGATGTCCACTGGAACGGATCACTAGTGAGCGATGCTCGTGACAGCCGCGCCCGTAGAGTGACCGCTTGGGAGAAAAGACGGTTGGCACAATTCATAGGTAAGATTTAGCTACGGGAAAATCGGCAGTGAAGCTTTTGTGCTCGGTGGATCACGCCGGTCGCTCGTGGTAGAATTTCGAGAACTCATCAAGCACCACAAACACGCCATATCGCTCTTGTAGTTGCGAAAGGAGAAGGCGATCGAAACTGTCGGCTTGTACCTTCTTCGCAGCCATTATCGCGCCCCTCTTCACCTTTGACAGTATTAGTCTAGCAAAATAAAAGTAGGTTGATCACAAGTAGCGATGCTAGTCACTGTTTAATTTCGTAGTGGCAACCGTTGGTGCTATCAACTGTTCTGACCTATTTCGTACCCTTGGGAGGGGGTCAGCTGCTGGATAAACTGAAGAATTATGAGCTATCTTCACAGAGGAGAGCAAAGGATGAATTCGTGTATTGGATGGTGATGTTTCGAGCGAAATATTCTCAAAACATGGACCTGCAAGTCGAATGAATTGAAAACACTTCCGCAAGCAGTCCTTCTATCGAAGGCGGACCTCTTTGAGAAAACTTGCTGGCGCTGTTGGACAATTTCGCGCAGAATAAGGGCTTCAGCTTTTACATTCCAGGAAGGCTACTTTTCATTTTGAGGGCTGTGCGAGCAAATTCCATTCTAATTCCACTCTTAGCAAGTCGTGAACACCTCGTAATTTTGCAGCATTGAAGGACGCTTTGCAGTCGTAGGCAAGCCGTACAGTGCGTCAGTTTGGAGGTCGAAAAACTTGTACTGCAGATGCAATTCCAGGCTAGCTTTCCAGTGCTTGATTTTTGCATTGCTTGTCAGTGTCGTCATTGCATCGCACCAACTCAACACTATGGCCACTGAAAGGACATGCTTAGAGAGTGGTAAGTTTTTACGAAAGTTCGGATGAAAATGCAGTTTTCGGCGCATTCTTGAATTGCCTCAAATCATTTGTATCCCCTTGAAATAGTGCTTGGCATCCTTTG